CCCCAAAACCCCAAAACCCCGTTTCACTGAAATCAAATAGGGGAATAAAAATTTAAATTGTAAAAATATAAATTATTTTTAATACATTACTTTGTCAATAAAAATAGGTTTTAATGGAATTGAAGGAAGAAATGTTTTAAGTTTTAAAAGCTAAGCACTCTTAGCAATAATAGCCTTAACGAAGATTAATTCTTCCTTCAAAAACAACCCCAGTCTCGCCCAAAAATATACCGCTTAGTTAATAGTGTTCAGCTAAGAATAGAATAATTTAGCAAAATATTATTTTGCCATTTTAGAAAAGACAAATTCAAATGCAGAACATGTCATCTGAATAACATGCCATGATTTTGGAGAAAAATTTGAATTCTTAGAGAGAGATTTAAAGCATGATGAGTGGGCTAAACTACACCAAGAAGCTAAAGAATTAAGCCATGAATCTTGATAATTAAACAGATAAGTTGAGAGAAATAAGTGCATAAATGAGAAATAGAGATTTGATTTCTATTAGTACAACACTGCAGCATAATAATGACGATGAAGATAATAAAAAATATTAAGATGAAAAATCTGATGAAGATATCATTATCAAGTCATCAAGTAACTTTAGCTTTAATGTTTATAAAGAAGAATAGGGTTAGAAGAATGCTAATGAGAATTCAAATAAAAAAGCTGTAAATGCGAAGTAGACCGAGGATAAATAATCAGTGATAATCAATCCAAAGAAGAAGAGATATAGACTCATAAAAGAGACTAAGAAAGTGTCAAATTATGCTTTGGATGATATATAATAAAGTTAGATACTAACTGAATTAAGATTGCTTTAGACATTCAGCACTGAAACTATATACGATTTAATATTCCTACATCTGCAACAAAAATACATAGGTTTGAGCTTTTTGGAGAAAGAATAAATAGTATTTAACTATCTTTAAGATAACTAAAAATTCTTCATTGAGTGTACAGATCTAATAGATAAGATTGATCATGAATAAAGCTTGAAGGATCTAAAGTTAGAAGTTAAAAAGCAGGGTATAATCATGAAGGATAAATAGAGAGTAGTTAGTTTATCAGGAAACTGCAGTCATACTGATAAGCTTTGATAACTGAGGAGAACTTACTTGAATAAATCCAATATCAATTTATACAGATAATCTAATTAATCCACTGCTAATAAAAAATCAGCTAAACCTTTAATAATTTTAAATAATGAGACTGACGATTACAATCCTCTTCTTGAAGAATCAAAGATAACATTAAGCAAACATAATATTTCAGATTCATTTGATTTGAAACATCTTAGAAATCAAAGAAACTACCCTGAACTTAAGCCATAAAATAAAAACATAATTGACTAATAATCTCAGAAATATCTTAGAAATAATGAATAGGTGGTAATTGAGGATTCAATTTTTAAATCCTTTGATGAAAAGTATAAATAAGATTTAAAAAGCTATAGCAAAAGACCATAATCAGCATTTAATAAAAATTTGCTTTTGGAAAATTCTTAAAAGTTATTGCTTGATTACAAAGGGACATCTGTGCCATAATTTTAATAGCCCTAAAGGAAAGTAAGGCTTCAGTCAGCAAAAATTTTGGCCAGATCAGAATTAAATGATAATAACAGGCTAAGTTATTAAGGCAGGACCTAGTCATAAAGAGGTATTAGTACTCTCAAATAAAAAGAAGTAAGATAATCTATGGCAAGTGATAAAATTTACCAGGGATTAAATGATAGTACAAAAGATTTTATTTCTAAAATTGCTCCTAACTTATATAGCGGGAGCAGCTAAATACTTAGAAAATATGCTAGTAAAAGGCTTAGATAATTTTAAAATCAATGATTAAAATTATGCAAGATGGCTAGATCAATATCAACTAAATAACATATATAATATTACAATTTATCATCAATTATATCTATTGTTAAGATATTATCATACGGGGTTTTGGGGTTTTGGGGTTTTGGGG